AAGTCTGAAAGGTAATTTGCTGACTTATTAATTTTATCATCATCGGTATTGATACGTAGTATGTCTATGAATACGATCGATAACTACCCCCTCATGCAGATAGATAGCGACCCACCGTTTCGGGCTAATTGACACCGAAATATGATTTCACGGTAGAAGATCTATTCGTAGAAGCCCAGCCAAAGGCTCTTAGTTAAATCATCCTTGGTTGCTTAAGAAGCCGATTTCAAGTCGAATAAATCGTAACATTCCACGGAAAAAATAAATGCCACATATTATTAGAGTATCACTATTATTTTTATTTGTATTTCTTTACAACATAAATTAATTTTTATGATAATTTTTTAAAACTATTACGAACGTACATATGTGTTTATAATTGCAAAAATATAAAGCATAATTTTAAGAGTTAAGTAAGTAGCAGCCGTGTTGCTTTCAAACACCTTTCGAATAATTGGTTGGCTGTCTGTGTTTTCTTTTATCTCTGCAAAACAATCAAATAAAGCAATCAAAAATGTGTAAAATAGCTGGATGATCGAAGGATATTAAATAGACGACTACAAAAAACTTTGCACAAGCTCTGTTTGCTGCGCGCTCTCTGCTGAGTTGTTAAACAAATGAAAATATGCAGTGGACAACAAATGAGTTATTGAACTAAGAGTAAAAAATAGACATTCGGCGCATGAAATGAAAGTTTTATAATGCAACAGAAGAGTCATAGATGAGCACAAGGTGTATTACACATTATACAATTATAATTTTTTTTTTTAATTATACATTTTGGATGGGCATTATTTTTTGTTTCTGATTTTAAGACAGAGATACGAGTTGGTTAGCGTTAGTATAATTAAAGAAAAAGAACAAATACTATTAAGTCAAATGAACAGATGTATGTATAGAGGAGGCCGTTGAGAGCTGTTAAGCGTGGAGGAATGTGACTTGCGAAGATATCGATGCATTTTGTGGTGCTGTGTAGTTTGTGATCTAAAAAAATTTGGTACTACATGTTCTCCAACATGCTAGGCAGAAAGTGAATTTTGTTTCAAACTCGTTTCACATTAGTCGCCACAAACTAATTACGGCAAGACGCATATTTCTTTGCTTAAATTTTTATGCTTATGAAAATATTTAAAGAACAAAATGTATGCAAATGAGGAGAATGCATTTAAAGTAGCATACAAGTAATCTTTTACCAATAGGAAAAAACAAAAATAATTTCGAACAGTGTGTCGTTTTAGTAAAGGTGCAGCATACAAATATGTATATGTATGTGATATTAATATGCATCATAGCCTGCAAGTGTTATATGAATCAAATGACAATAATGCGCAATTAGTTTTCCATGATCTTCACAATGTTTTCTTGCTGTTTTATGCTTTATGACAATAGTATGTATTTTACATGAAATACTATTTCCATGATCAACTAAAACTATTAAAATCTATTATTGTATTGAAATTAATTTGAACTTACGACTACTATAAATATAACGGGATTATTGTGGCGGACAACAATTGGCCTTTTGAGTTTTCTGTTTTCGTTTAATTATTTGCCTACACAGTAGTTGGGTATCAGTAGGGATTTGTAAAATTCCAATATACTGATGACGCAATCTTTGAGTATACATTGCACGGAAAGGAAAAGGTGAGAGGAACGATTCTGATTCACGCCTATTTTTAAGAAATAAGAACAAAAAAAAACAACATTATTAGTTGCATGTTTTATAAAATAAGTTGTAGTTAAATAATATATGATTGATAATTGAATAATTTGAAATACACACATATTTTTATGTAGTAAGTACAGCTCATCGGGCCTAATGCACAGTTTTTTTTTGCTTAATTTTTAATTTTTTCCTATTTTCTACTCATATTATCTATAAGTTTTTCACACTTGGCAAATTTCTATAATCACATTACATATAACTAGCTAATGTTTATATAATATATGTATGTATGTGCTTATTTATATGAATGTATGTATATGCGTACGTATTTAGTATTCCTAAATATTTTTTTTAGTATTGTGTAATGCGAAAACTTATTTTAAGGCGCTTTAAATTGCTTATGTTAAGAAATTGTATTATAAAGTAAGCAGAAAACTCGAACTTTAAAAGTCGCATAGATGAAAAAATTTACAAAATTGGAAATTTTGATTTAAGACTTCTTTGCAAACACCTACAGGTTGCATTTAATAGTTGAGTAGCCCACTTCCAAACAGCGTTATTTGATTTTGTAATACTAAGCCATAAATTAAAAAAATAACGACTACGACAACAAGTAACATCTAAATTGATTCTTCTGATAAATAAGAGCAAAATAAAATTATAACATAACATAACATGACATAACAGTCTATACGACCTAAAGCAGCTTTCTAAGTGTAGAAGATGGAGACTTTTGAAAGTTTATAATAGCGACTTTTGTAAAAAGAGTTAACGTACGTTACCCACCAAAAACTAAAAATCGAAAAAATGTTACATAGCGCACTTTGCAAGTGGACTACTCAGTTTAAAAAACAAGCTCAAATCAGGAAAATTTCGTTACAAACAAATGTTGTTAACTTCACAAGAAAAAAGACAAGCAAAAATCTTCTACTTACATATTAAACCGACAAATTTATGGGTCCATTATGGATAGCAACACAACTTTCCACTCACTATATTTAAGTACCATGAAGTTAAAGATAATAGAATTTTGAAGCACCAGCAACCAAGGTTTGAGTAAAAAAAGCTGCAGAAGCAGCTAAAAAGTTAAGTAAACTTTCTGAATTAAAATATTCGGGGCAACCACAAAAATGCAGTTGCTAATATAGAAACTCAGTTGTCAGCTGCCATCTGTAGTATCATTTCAGCCACTGGCAAAGCAATTATAGTTCGGTTGCCATCCGTAATCGACCCACAAATAGACCTCTGAGCTAACTAGCATCAGAACAAAAATGCCAAACCTACATACACATGTATGTATGTATATTTACTATGAAGAGAGAATGACGCAATAGCTTCCTACTAACTAAGTTTAAGTAAAGAAATCGAAATTTTAAATAAATTTTATACTAGTTTTAAGCGGTAAATGAATTTTAAGGAGTGTTTTCATATCCGAAATTTCTTACTTACAGAAGGCTACAGGCGCAGTTAATAAACTAATATATTTTTATATATCTTATAACTGCAGTGGCGTTTAATATACAACCTACTGATTATTAAGTGCATCCAGTGCGCGGTATACCACACCGCCTGGTGCTCTAAGCCTCAGATCAAGCCAGATTTATTACAAATGTATCTTACTAAATTTTGGGGCCAGTTTTTAAGTGCGCAGCTGTGGTTTAAACTTAGCTTAGCTTAAGCTAGGATTAGCCAATCAAGTGTCAGCCCGATATTTAGGGCCACAACTAATCCGTCGTAGTCCGAATTTTCGCGAAATCTACGATGATGCTATCACTGAATCCGAATAGCTGCGAACGAAGCATACACTTTGAGTGCATACGTAAATCGGACTATGATGGTTTCAGCGATAGCCCAGATTAAATATTATGAATCCAATTTACGTTATATAAGTTTAAACGGACAACGAAAGACTGGCACTTAGAAACTAAGTCACACATACATATGTTGTTTAAAGAAAACATCTATTGGAAGCATTTTTTTATGTGTATCTAATTGGCAAACTATGCACTACAATAAGCAATATCTTCTATACAGTTAAGTTCTTGATATTTAATACTTATAAGCTAACTATTTAGAATATTTTTTGTGAGTTCCAAAGTCGAAAATACAGCGTGGCGACGAATAATTGTTACCCAGGTTTTTTTGAGAAATAAAATAGATTTTGCGAAAAAAATATTTTATTGTTAATTTTCCACAGATTTTACTTTAGTTGTATTAATTAGTTTTTAAATATTAATCCCAATTTACATTTGCAAGCAGTGTAAACTTTCAAAGAAAAGTTCATTTGGCACGCAGGTCTTCGTCAATTAATTTATTCTATATCTTCTGTAACATGGGCTAATTTTCTCCATTTTGAGTCCCTTATAAGCCCCCTTCTGTCCAGCATAAGGCCTCAAAAATCGAACAGACTCGGAGCTGGTGACTAGGACGGCCATTCATTCGAACAACCCTATACAGTTTTTTTTGTCATCTTTTTATAAAAACGCCTAAGAAAAATACACCTGAAAAAGACTTGCGTGCCAAATGAACTTTTCTCTCAAAGTTTAAACTGCTGACAAATGTAAATAAGGATTAAAATTAAAAAACTAATGAGTACAACTAAAGTAAAACCTGTGGAAAATTGACAATAAAATACTATTTTCGCAAAATTTATAAGGGACCCTTTTATTTCTAAAAAAAAAAACCTGGGTAACAGTTCTTCGTCGCCAGGCTGTAAGCACGTTTTTTTTTTAATGTATATTTCAAAAAATTGTTACTAGACCATTTCCTGTAACATGAATAACTAGAAAAAACTCGAAGAATACTGCATTTTAAATTTGTTAGTTTGTTCAAAGTATCGAGATTTGTGAGCTTTTCCTGGTTTTTTCTTCAGTTGAAGTAAATACTCTTAAAAATCGCTAGCTTAGTGTGAAAAGTTGCTAAGTCCCAATTTAAAAATTTTGTGGGAGAGGAAAAAAACTCCTAAAGCAAAACCCCATACGAATTAGAAGGATTCGATCTTTATTAAAAGATTTCGTACTATTGGTGTCTTATCGAATTTTCGGAGCTTCTTTTGGACTTAGCATTTTCCTTCCTTTCATTGAATATAAACGCAAAAACATAAAACAAGTACCCGCATCCTGTTCGAATCAATGCATTTTTAATTCCTCTAGCCTCCTGTATAAAAATATGAGTTTTCATAAGAAGTGGGCTTAGCCACTTATCATTCTAAGCTAGCGAAATCATACATTCATATTATGAAATTTCAGATTGTTTTCTCTTCAAAATTTGCTTTCCTTTGCATGCAGTCCTTTCGTGATTAGTATTTGTCAAACTAGCTACCTATTCAATCTAGTTTCTTATTCATCAACAGAATGTTCAGAAATATTTGCATTTGCCAGGTACATAGCTTTTCATTGTCAAATCTACGCCTTTCCTGCGTTTGTGATTAAATATGTTTTTTCTTATTTTTATTTAATCTACTTTTATACGCAACCAAAACATTTGAGCTTACCTATAGTGTGTGTGTATGCATTTTTTAGTACTAAGCCTAAGTTATCCCATTTATCAATTATAACTGCCTTAGAATTTATTTTAGTGTTAAAGTTATTGCTAAGAAATAAACATGCAGGCACATGCATACATACGAACGTTTGTGTTTTATGTTTTCAAAGGCTGAACACATTTTTTTACTGAGCCAACCACAGCTGAATATAGGTCCAGCGAATATACAATAGCTTTTGCAACGCGCCCATTTACTTCTTTTTTGCTTAAATGCACACTTCCCTACGCAACAATTGCGAATATAAGTTGTTTTTGTTTCTTTGCTTGCGTGTGTGTGTTGTGTTTTCAATATCTATTTAGCCACACTTTCCATGCGCGCACTTCTAGAAACGTATATGACGCTGTGCATAGCGGCCGTCCACGTCACCACCACTACCCCCATCATCATCATCGCCAACGCCAACGCCACCACCACCGACTCCACCATTTTCCTCCTCGCTGTCGTCCGAGTCGATGATGTTGCGTAATGTCAACGCATGGAAATCGTTCAATGTTTGCTCAAACAGATCTATTGTCTGCTGATCCGCTTCGGAAATCACATTTTGTGTTGCATCTAACAGATCTTCAGCTGCATCAAGCAACTCACGACTACCATGCGCAACAAGCACCGCAGCAGCAACACTGCCACCATGCCCATGCATATGCCCATGATGCGATGACGTGGATGCGCCAGCTGCGCTATTAGCTATTTGTTGATGATAGCTGCCACTGTAAATCCCTGTATTCTCACCACTCATGTGCTGCTGTGCAATAGTTTGTGCATCACCCACAGCATGCTGCTGTTGTGCTGAGGCCGCAGCCACTGCTGCTGTGCTGCGTGACAATTCGTCGGCGTGTGCCAATGTGGAACCAATTATATCGCTTGCTATGCGTATAGCCGCATCGGTGGCGGCAATAGTTGAAATGAAATCGCTTGCATTGGCTGGATGGCGCATGCTGTAGTAGTTGAGTGGCAGGCTGAGGTCTGATGAGGAATCTGTTGGTGTATTCAAAGCACCCGGTCCAATAGATATACTTTGCTGCTGCTGCTGTTGATAGATTTGTGAGGCGAAGTTGGAATCGGTTATGACAGTATTACCCTCAATGCGTAGGCCAGCTACACCTTTTTTGGGTATTGTGGCTAGATCGCGCTTGACGCGTCGGCAACGACTTGGCTCATTTTGACGTTGCTGGACCATTGCTTCCAAATCGACAACATATACATAGCCAGCCACCAATATGATACAGGATTTTTCACCTTTCTTAAATGCCTCCTCAATATCCTGGCTGGTACGATCGTCATACTGCCACCAACCTAGTAAATTCCACGTAAAAAATATTCGATTAAATTTATTTGAAGCAAATTGTCAATTAGTATTGCAACACACAAGCAAAATATTATGGTAATTAGTGCAATCAATCGTGTGTTTTTGAATGTGTGTATTAATATTTCAATATTCCAGCTACGCCTTTGGTTGGCATATGCTTGGAGCGACAAATCTTGCGCTTTCGTGTTGGATATTCTAATGGGTGCTGCACCATATCTGCGAAATCAATTGTATACATTGTGCCACAAATTAGTATTTCATGTTGGCAACCCTCTTCTAGATCAATCGTGCCGGTACCGAGCATGCGTGTTTTATACGCTTCTTCGATATCTTTCGAAGAGCGCGGATCATATGCCCACCAACCGCCTGCAGGAGTTTAGCTTAATTTTGTGAGTGTTGTCTTAAATTATCGACACTTACCGTTACGTCCTTCGTAGAACCATTGATAACCGTCTTCGGTGGATTTAGTTGCACAAATATCATCGATGCCATTCACCAAATCGGGATGATCAAGAAATTCTGGCGGTATTTCACGTCTACACATGGCGCAACGACGATTTTTGTAAGCGACGCCCTGGAGGTTGTAAAGAAAATGTAAATGTTTTGGTTGTTTAATAATAATTGGAAAGTTAAGCAAGTTAGGTTTTTGTTAGAATTCATTTGAATAAAATAATTTTAAACAACTCGCTTAATGTTGAGATTTTTTACAAGTTGCTCTAATACTTTTATTAAAAAATGCTTGAAGATTTATTTGGCTAGCTAAAAGCTACAGATACATATAACGTTTCCTGAATATATGTAATATTGGTATGTATAAAGAAAACTACGAACATCAAGGAAAATGAGGTCGAAACTTAAGTGTAATTAAATTTTTGTGTACAAAAGCATCGTTGTGATTTGGGCAAAATACTTAAAAATTACAAGCGCTACATCAATTTTCACCGGATTAAAAATAAATAGTTTGTAGCTATGAAAATTTTAAGTTCCTTACTACTTCGCTTAAAACTTTTTGCTATATTTTTTTGTATTTTTTTCATCTTAAACTTTGAATTTCTAAAAACTAGCAGCTACTATATTAACTTACAATAAATTCTAACAATTTTAATATTCTTCAACCTACATAATTTTATTTAAACACGCAAAAGGCAAAGATTTAAACACGGAAATATGCATTAATCCATTGAGCGTGCATAACATATTTCAATAGCGGCATATTTCATGCTCAATAGTTGGCTATAAAGATCACTAACACAAAAGATATTTGCCGTTGAAAGACGTTGGCGACTATTTTGGTAAAACTCATACATACATGCATATTACATATAACGAACAGAGACCAAATAATCATTTGAGCTAAACTTGTCGGTCAAATTTTCTTTAACTAGGAAGTAGCGGTAAGCGAAAAAATATATGAAAAGAAAAAGATCGACCACCTTCAAATCCGTTGCTTTGTTTTATTCATTAGTAATTAGTTGTAGCAAAGCCAACAAGTATTCAGCTGTTTAATGTTACCCTAAACGTGTTCCTCAAATCAAACGACGGTCTAGCATATGTGCCTAAATTGGCAGCACTGAGCAGTTTGACTATGACGTCGTACCGACGTGCCTGTGTCTAAGCTTGAACTTAAACTACAATATAATTCGAAGCGTGCATAACTAAATATATAACTCTTATCGCGCAAGCAATGGTTTTGGCTAACGCCCCCTTGCACGCGCTAGCGATGAGGGGAGTAAGCGATGTACTTGAAGAGCGCCCAACGAAATTTGCCTACCAAAATATGGTAACACAAGGTTTCAATGTCTTCCTATATACCATTTCGGTAGAATCCCATAAGATTTGAATCAAATTCGCGAATATTTTGAAAACTTCCTTATTTTTAAGTCACACATAAAATAAGCAAATAAGCACTTGCTGCTAGCCAAACACAAGCGGCTACTCTACTAAACAGCTCACGTATTGCAGGAAGACATCTACAAGCCGTTTAGTTAATTATGTATGCACCAGCGCGCTATACACCGCCTCATGCCAACATATTGACGTGCCTTTAGCTCTTTTTCAAGTTATCTACTAAAAACATTGACAATGGCATTTGTACAAAATGAAATTTCCACGAATTTTAACAATATCTAGCCTGTTCCCGTACTCCAGGATTTAGTCTTACATAGTCCGGAAGATAGTACTGAAGTTATTAAAAATGTGTGTACAGAACTGGCTTCGGACTATTTGACTGACTAAATCTAGAAGGACGGGTACAGGTTAATCTTTTCTATACTCACTTTCACGCATAGGAAACAAAAAATGTGCCCACATGGCAGGCGTGCTGGATGTATGCAGGTTTGTAAGCATATGGGGCATTCAATTGTGGTCGCAGATCCACCAGCAGCATCATCAATACTAGGCGGTGGTGAGGTCGCTTCAGGACTACTATCCACGGTTATGGTTGCAGCAGCAGCAGCAGCAGATTTCGAGGTAGAAGGGGCTGGGCTAGTACTGCAAAGATCGATTACGGCATCATTTGCATTTGCATCACTGCCTGTTGTTGCTGTTATTGCTGCTGTCGCCAATGCCATTGATGATGCAGACAATGTTGTTGCAGGCAATTGCAAATTTTCATCAGCCTCCAAAGGCACCAACACTGTTGCATTTGCTTCCTCACGCATGGTCATCAGCCTTGGCGAGGATGCGGACGCTATTGCGTTGGGTGCTTGATCCAAGCCATCTGTTTGTTCTTCACTTTGCTCCATTCACTCAATTGAAATTCACTATTAAAAAATGAACAATTTTTCACTTTCGTTTTGCAAATTTTATTTTTCTGTTGCTGCGATTATTGCGATATTTGCACAATCTTTTCTTTGTTACGTGTTGGCAAATTTTCTTTATTATTCTTTTCTTGTTCGACTTTGCGTCTACCCTGATTGTTGCTTTCGATAACAACTCATAATACAATACCATGATGCAATAATGAAAGGTGTTATACGTTGGCAACTTCTCGCTCTAATCCGCCATCTTGAACTACCTTAGGAGAAACTGTGTTGTTTCTTTGCTAATTTCACTGAACATTTCCCAAAATATTAGAAANGTAAAACTAAGTATGAGGCATTATTGGTATGGTCAACAGCTATCAAACCTGATATATGCGCACAAGAAGCCCATTTGAAAGAGGGGGACAAAATATCACACGTAAATTAATTCCTCTATTTGGCCTGTACAATATAAGGGAAACATTTCAAATTCACAAGGGATAATTTTCTTAGTGATGCGGCTTATAAAAGGAGTTATATATGCCATACTGTTCTAGCTGGGTATTATCAGCTCAAAAATTTTAAGCAAATTATCATATTCCTGTGAATAAAAACGCGCCTTATTTTATTATTTTAATTATCTACAACTTTATGAGACTACCAAGCCATATATATACCTATTCAGATAATCGGAACGCTGTTGAGAAGGCATAAAATTTAGTACTTTTTCAACTAAAGGGCTTTTTTTCTTCCCGTTTTTCTTGTACCTCCAAAATACAATATTGACCTAAGGTAGTTCGATTTCGGGCTGTCACAACGTACAACACCTTTCATTATTGCATCATGATACAATACAAGTAAATTGACACCGAATGCAAGCAAGCAAATAAGAATTATATTGAAGTTTTATTTTAATAACAAATTCGCCTCTTTGTTGCTGATATTCGCCGTAAGAGATTGCAAACGGGTGCGGAACTGTATTTATTGCCGGTAGGTGGCGCCGCCTACTATGAGAAATCAATGTTGCCATACAACCCGAAATTTAGATATTAGGGCATTAAATTTCCAAAAAAATGTTTTCAAAAATTTTCTGGTATTATTATTTTTTATATCCATTTTAAATTAAAATCAAGCGTAGCTTTGGTACTCAGCTACCATTAGACTGGGTTCACACAGAGAAACTTTTGTTGCTCATTCTCGGCAATTTCTCTTTTGATGTTGCTCTTCGCGTTCATACAGAGTAATTTTGTTGTCCGCTGTGGACGGCCAACTAGAATTACTCAGACGAACGAGAGCACAAAGCGCGTTGACCGAGCACGAGCAACTCGGTGCCCTTCCCCCTTCCTTGTCACTCGCTCTCCTACAAGTAACGAGTTGCCGAGACAAAAGTTTCTCTGTCTGAACCTAGACTTAAGACACCGCTTTCAGTTGCATTACTAATTTTTCAACAAAAATTACACCAAAAGGGAAAAATCGGCGCTTGTGGCAACATTGTGCCGAACCGGAAATAAGTTTCGCCTATTCAGGCGTTTCCTGCAGGGTAGCTACTGAGCACACAACATGCATATTCGTAACGATTATACAGCAATTAGTGCCGCGCACTAAAATAAAGCTTTCTATGCTTTTTCCTTAACTTGCGAAAAGATAGGGAGCTTACGTTAAAAGCTTTTCGTGCTTCGCGATGCTGCTGCTTATGGCCACAGAGCGCACCGAGTTCGCAAACGATTTGCTGCCGTCCTTGTTCTTCAAATGATTTTTAAGGCCAAGTGCAAATGACGAGCCAAACTTCTTCACAACGGCAGGCAGCTGTTCATGAAATAAAAGTAATTGTGTTAGTGTGTGTGGGCGAAAAAGGCAAAAAGCACCAAAAAGAACGTTGGGAATGTGAAAACTTTACTTTAATATTGGCATATTCTCTTTTGCGCTGTGTTTCGTGTATACAGAACGCATACGCCGCGTGCACCCCTCGACTCCAGCAACCTTCAATCAGCAGCAGCAGCAGCAGCAGCAAAACCTTCCCCAAACAACAACGCTGCGTTGCGCATACAAACACATCCTCATTGCTTCCAAGTTTTATTGGTGGTGCTATTTTTTAAGCTTTTTTTTTTTGTGTTCGCCCGCCTGTGTTCTTGTTCTGGCACACTGTGTTTCTGTGCCGTAGCCGTCGCGTTGTTGTGCTTGTTGTTGGTGTTTGTTACTGCTGCGCCCTATCTACTGCCTTCTGCTAGCTTTTTGTTTTATTCTGTCTTCTATCGTCTATCGCACATTGTCGACTTTCGTGCACGTCTCGTATACCCGCCATGACCGTGTACCCGTTTATATTATCCGTTCGCTTTGCAGCATTTGCGTTCGTCGCCTGTGTTCCCGTTCCGTTCGCATTCGTGTCAGTCGAGATTGAGAGTGCGAATTTGGCCTACAGACCTAATTTTACGTCTGCAGCCAAAACAAACCCAATTAAATACGTTAAATTAGTGCAAAATTAAAGTGAAATATATGAAATCAGCTAAATTCGGTGCTGCGTAATGCGATGTGACAATAAATAAATGCGAAAAATGTACAAAATACGCAATAAAAGCGAACAAATTCGCTGGTGATAGTACATATATATGTGCAAATTGCACAATTGTAGAATTTTTTCCTATACTTCTAAAAAAAAAGTACACAAATTGAAGCAAAGTGAAGAAATGAAGCAGCAGCAGCAGCAGTGTCTTGTGTATGTATGTATGTATGTACATATGTATGTATGTATGTATACATGCTCACATGTATGTATGTCATGTGTAGTATATTTATGCCCATAGTGTGAAGTGATTTGAAGAAGTGCAGGGGAGAAGTGGTGCAGTGTGCTAAAGGAATTATCGCGTTCGCGTTCGGGAGCAGCCGCGAAGTTAACGCAAGTGTACCTACATACAATAAAACATAAAGAAATAGTGTAGTTGGTATTGCGAATAATGTGCCTTGTTGTTGTGGTTGTTGTTCTTGTGTCATAGCTATTCGGTGTAGAGTGGGACTATTCCCCGTATAGGCGAGCGAACGTTCCTCCCACTGCCCCGTGCACCTTTTTTTACATTCACGTACCTACCGCACCGCTTGCAGCTGTGTGTATACGCTGATGATGATGTTGAGGTCTTGTGGGTATGCTAGCGGCGGCGACGTCGGACGACCAGACGATAACTAGTTGCGACCGCTGCTACAGCTGCAAGCGATTCGTAAGATATTTTTTCAAATTGGACTGCAATTTGCAATCCCATGCTGGAGCTTTCACAGCGGTGCGGGATTAATGTGCTCGTGTGAATTTTCTGTGTGTGTTAAAAAATATATGTATCGAAATTGAAGAAGAAAACGCGTAGCCAAAAGGAAATTGAAGCCGCAATTAGTCGGTTTGCTTTTGCAGCAGCAACGGAAGTCATATTCATCCGCCGCGGTGTACCAAGTGTCCAAATGTAATTCATAAAAGTACCTATGTATCTAATAAAAAAAACTAACTAAGCAAGGGTTTGCATAATTTTCGTAGACTGCAGCACGCTTTTCAAGTTCAAAGCAACCGTGCATGCATGCGTATATACATGTGTATGTATGTGTAGGAGCGGGCACGGAAAAACCAGCTGTGCTGATTGACGCTCCACTCCAATATAGAGGCATAAATGCATTTGGAGCAGCCCAAAATTCAGATACGCACCAGTAGAACGGTGGAGGTAATAAGAGTAATACTTTATTGAAAAAATAGAAAACAGCAACTTCAAAAAGGGGAATCCAAACTTGCATTTGCAATGGAGCGCTAGCATCAAACAGCTTCCATACTTTAATGGCAGCGCATAGACGAGGCCTCAGTATTGCGAAAAAATCACTATAAGGTACAGGAATAGCGAACTGCGTGTGCTGCGTGCGTTCGTATCCGTGACCGTGTTGTGTGCATACATACATATGTACGTATCTCTTGCCCTATTTGCTGCTGCACACCGCACTGATACAGAACAATAAAAAGCACACACAAAAAAGAACAAAAAGAAACAGCAGCAGCAGAAAAATAAGAGGAAGCAAGTTTTTGCAAAAAACGGAGGGGTCAGTGCGGAAATCTATTATTTGCCATTCACTTCGTTCTGAATACACACACACACATACACCAAAGCAGTGAGCTTTTACAAGTTGGCGCACTACATACTGGCGGAAACTGTTGCTTGAATGGAAGACGGCAGTGAAGGCGACGGCGAGACAAATCACGAAGCAAAAGTGGAAAATAACAAGCGTTGGGAGCACCTACCCCCCCCAAATATGTATGTACAAACAAACATACATACATTACCAAACAGATCGCAAAAGCACACTTAGCTGAAGTGGAACTGAGTAAATGTGATTGTTAGTTGGTGCGTGCATAAGCGAGATAGCAAGCGTAACGTTTACTCTGTGAGTCTGAAAGTGGAAGTAGAATTAGCAATAGCACAAGCTGTCGACTAGAATCGCACGTCGCATCGCGTCGCCCCGTTTACGCTGTGTGCGTGTGAACGTGTGTGTTTTGTTGTTGCCGGTAGTCGCCAACAATCTTAAGTGAGAACTGCGCCCCAGTGCCTCCACTTCGGCAGCGGTACCCGTAAAAGTGCTAGTTTCGTCATCCTCCAACATTACTACATCACCTAACCTACCCAGCAGTGAATGGAATGCATTCCGCATCGATGCCTCAGTGATGACAAGTAATGCCATTTGATTCCGCTCTCGATTCTAGTTATTTCTATTGCAGTATGCATGGCATTTAACATTGCGTGTCATTGGCGGTAAGGTGTGAGGGCTTCTGCTGCATTGCCTTTCATCAATGTCATGCTTTCTGCATTACCTCTAGCAAGCATTACGCTCAAAGTAATGCAGAATGTTTTAAAGAGTAATGCGGAAATTAAGTACTAGACTAATATTTGGCAGAAAAAATGAAGCTTATGTGAATATTTCTATAGAAATGTCTAGCAAAACATTTTTATCAAAATGTAATGCATACAAAATAAGGGTTCGCAATCAATTGCCTGTCAATCGATGAAAGTATGTACTTCGAAAAAAAGAAGCAGTTCAAGCATATTGTAAAGCGATTGCATTACTTTGGAGTCGACTCTGGAGTAGAGTCCGAACGATTAGTCGGCATCGGCATCGGAGGGTATCTGCCAAAATAATCGGCATCGGGATCGGCATCGGCCGTTTCTGCCCTATTCTTTTTACTTTTTCCGCAATTTTAACAAAAATTCATTAAAATTTTAGACTGTTTAATCAGATTTTTTAGAATTTTTTAAGTACGAAGTTTTTTAAATTTTAGTATAATGAAAGTGGAAGTTTGAAGTAGCTAGGTAAGTGTTGATTTTTGACAATTTTATGTTCACGCATTTTCTTCCAAACAAAGTTTGTTCGATTTTTTTTTTGTATGGGTGGAAGCCGCAAAACTTTCAACAAAAATAAAAATCCAAAAACCAATAGTAAGTCCTATTACTTAAAATTTGCACTTCATTAAAATAAAATTGAATGGGCTGCAAAAATGCATACTCAGAATGTTTAAAGAAAAAGTTTTAAATTTTTACCAACATGGTTTCTGTTAGATAACGAGCTACACTTTCACAAAAAAAAAACTAAGCAAGATTAAATAAATGAAAGGGAAATAGCCAAAGACTGCTAAAATGTCGTTACTACAAGTATTGTTAGGATTATCCTTGAATTAATCGCTGAATTCCTAAATCCTTCGGGTTATTCTCACTGGATTTTTAAATTGTTTACGTTACAAAAATACTTGTATCATTAAAAATCCACGGTTACTGTTTATTAAAAAGTTGTATTCAATACAACAGCTTTATAGTCAGCAGAAGCTTGCATATTTTTACTACTACATATGAGTACAACTAAGAAGTATAAGAAGCATTTGCATTGGCCAAAAATTGGGTATTGGTCGGACTCTACTCCGGATTTGGTGACTTTCTCATGCAATCGCATTTTCGCTGCTGGGTACTTACCTACCCAGCTATATACATTTTTATAGTCGCATAGAATTCGCATCGTATGCTTTAATTTCGCTTTTGCTGCTAAACATTTGTCTTGTTCAATCATTTTCTTACTCTTTCGCCTTTTTCGATCTACAATTCTACACTTTTACTTCTTGGCACAGCTTTATCGCATATTTTAGATCGCGCTGCGTCCCGTCCATTTGGCCTGCCAACCAAATATCGGTGTGCCAATTAAAAACAACAAAAATCACAACAACAATAGAAAAACAACTGCAGTGCCACACCATTGTGTTCATCCCTGCCACATTGTTGCTGCTGTGGTTGTTGTTCGCTCCTACATGCATATATATACATACATACATATGTATGCAGAATATCCAGTTTTGTGCTCCTCAACATAATTCTTATTGACTTCTTTACATACGGTGCGCACAAATGTGATATTCTTGCGAAATTTTCATTGTATCCGTTTCCCACCGCGTTCGCGTCGTTCACACTCGATTTCGTGCAGTACGTCTGACGTCTGCTTTGCTTACACGTACGCATGCACTTGCATGTTTGTTTGTTTGTTCGGTTCTTTGTTCATTCTTCGCTGTTGCTTGTTCGTACATCCGTCCGTCGGTTTGTCGTCTCGTCGGTGTGTGCGTGTTTGTGAGCCTAGAAATAGTAGAATAAGAAGAAAAAAAAATACGAAAACAAGAAAACAACTTGGCGAGCACTTTTGCTTTCGGTCCCAACTGGATTTCGTTAGCCGCTTCTTCTTCTGCTTCCTCCTCAATATCTTCACATTGTTATTGCATTTGTGTTTCGCAGTTGCTATTCGCTTTCGATTTGCCATTTTATTATTATGTGTTGCCTCGGCGTGCTAAAATAAGCCAGAATCAATGTGAAAAATAAACGAGAATAGAGTGGTAGAAGCTTCGTCGACGTCGACGGCGAAGCCAGTGCTGACAACAGTAGCAATAATAACTAGTGCTTTCCAGAGATACTCGCATTATAAGGTAAGCGCTTTGTTTACTTGACTCGTTTACGAACATTTTTTGTTTTATTACAAAGCGGTTTAACCCTTCCGCTCCATGGGTTTTCGCACTAAGTTCAGCAGTGGAATTTCGACAATCGCGATGCTAAGTTTTCGTGACCAAAATTCTCCAACAGGTCTATTCTGCACGTTATCGATAATTTTCTAAACGGAAAATTTTATTACCAAACAATGTTACCACTTCTGGTCACTCCGATTCTTGGTCAGTCAAAATATTTAGCAATTTTGCTATGACGATAAATATCTTTAAATCTTTAAAGACTCTTATATTGAGACTTATATTATAAAAGTCTTTTCATAAATTATGAGTGCGAAATGTTTCAAGTCTTAAAGGACGGGGCTTATTCAGGACCATTTCGGGATTACTTCGGGCCCATTTCGGTACTAGTTGGAGGCCAGTTCGGGGATAGTTGGGGACGAGTTCGGGCATAGTTTGGAACTTGTTGGGGCGTAGTTTGGGACCAGTTGGCACTAGTTGTGTACAATATAATCTATATAATCCCGAACTGGTCCCAAACTAAGCTTCAACTGGCCCCAATTTACTCCTCAACTCCTGAACAAGCCCCGTCTTTTAAGACTTAAAAAGTTTTTCGCACTCGTAATTCAAGTCTCAAAATAAAAGTCTTTAAAAGACTTAAAAATATTTACCTCAATGACAATTATTGTGAAAAAAAATTTCTAATATAAGTCTCAAAATAAAAGTCTTTGAAGACTTTAAAATATTTATCCCTCTGATAGTTATTAAGAAAGGACTTTTATAATAATTTTAGATGACTCGAAAATTTTTATCCTAATATAATAATTTTTGTTTGCCTTTTATTCTTTTCTCTTATAATATTTAAGTCTTATCGGCGAAATAAAAACTATTTTTCGTCTAATAACTGTTATGAATCAACGTTTTCGTTAAATTTCAGAGTTCGGGCAACGTTTTCAATTTGTAAATTCGAGATAACAGTTATTGTTGGTTCCTGATCAAAAGCCTTTCCTTGTAGTAGTAAAATTGTTCCCTACAGGTCAGTTCGCCTGTCGCGGCTACCAGCGCACAGTGGTTCAAAACTGGAATTTAATGTTCTCAGTACTTAATTAATTAAAGCTTATAATATCTACAAGAGACCAGTTGAGCCCGATTTTTGAATTTTTATTTCTTTGCATTTAAGATTTTAGTACAATGTGAAGAAAAAGTAGCAAAATTGGAGAAAATCGATTCTCCTGTTCCAGCTGATAAATGTTACATAATAAAAACTAGATAAAAACAATTATATGGTTCACCCAAAACGAAAGAAATTCCAAAAAATGTACGTGTTATAAAAAAATTTCTTCAAAATAAATTTTTTTTTTTATTTCTTAGATAAGTTGTGTTTATATATTTTTATAGATAATGAAATTTTAGTATGATAAAGTTCAAGTTTCAAGCGGCTAAGAAAGCTAACGAAAAAATTATTAAAAATGAACTTGCAACTTGTACTTTATTATACTAAAATTTAACGATCTTTAAAACTGCATAATCAAAATTTTTCTTAAAACTCGAAACAAATTTTGAATTTGGTGAAATTTTTTTTAAAACAATTTAAATTTTCTGGTGAATATTTTTTTTCGTCTTGGGGGAACCCTAGAATTGTTTTCGACTAGGTTTAATTGTGTAACATTTATTAATTGGAAGAGGGGAATCGATTTTCTTCAACATTGCTACTTTTTCAGCGCTTTGCACTAATAAATTTAGTACAAGGATATGAAAGTTCAAAAGTCGGGCGCAACTATTCTCTTGCTAATTATTAGCTTCCATTAAAAAAAAAATAAGAAACAATTAATCAAATTGGTTGAAAAATGAAGGCTCCAGTGAATTATGAACATTAAATTCCAGTTTTCAGCCACTGTGCAGCGTTGGCTCCCTTTGAACTTTCATAACTTTGTTTAAAGGCACCACCTTTAACGGGACGAGCAACATCACACCTGATATAGAATTAATGCCTTCAAAACCAAGACGAAAATATTCCCTAAAAGGTATTGCACTAATAAGAATATTGTTAGAATTTTGGCGGTTTTGTTAATTTATATTTTTATAATTTTGTCTTAAAGTTTTGGAAAAATATTTAAAAATAAAAATACCAAAATTTGGAATAAAATACTTATTAATAAAAAATGTATTTTTATCAAAATTATAATAAACTAATAGAAAAAATGGTTTTCTTTAGAAAAATTATTCTCACAAAATATAGAAAAAATAACAAAACTAAAAAATGTATTTTTATCAAAATTATAATAAACTTCCCAGTTATTAAAAAAAAATATTTTCTTGAAAAAAAATTATTCTCGCAAAAATACAAAAATTACCAAAAACTAAAAAGTCAGTCTTTTGGGCAAACATTATTTTGGAAATTTGTGTGTGTAAAAAATAATTATTTTGCGAAGAGAAGAGTCTTGATAAAAGGTAACAATTTTAAGCTTACTTATGGTGATTTCCTTTCTTGCAAAAAATGTTGTTTGATGTTACGCTCAACCCTGTAAAAAGGGTTTTTGCCTTCCAGTCCTTGTCTAGCTCACGCATTTCATAATTTTGTCGTTTTAAACTACCATCTGATTATCAGGGCAACCATCTCTCCTGACAGAGCTTCAGAGGGTAGAGAATGTGCTTTTTTTGTCTTACAAGAGTGTGCCATTTTAAGAAACGAACACCAAATTTAGAATCGAACATAAAAAGAGAAAGGGGCAATCAAAAGGCGAAATTTTTTGGCAGAAACGGATTTTCCTTTAGAAAAAATTAAGTTTTTAAGGCTTTCAGATAAAAATGAATTTTTGGAAAAAAATACATTTTAGTTAATTTATTTAAATAAAATGATGACTGAAAAAATAATTTTTGGGTATAAATATTTTTTTTTGAGTAATCATTTTTTGGGAATAAAAATATTTATGTACCTACACTAATTGGCCTCATGCATAAGAAGTGTGCTTAAGATTATACTGAATTTCATCAAGTGATAAAGTGAGTTATAGCTCAAGGATTCGTACTGAAAATCGAGTCGGAGCTTTAGCTTTAATAATGATAATTTTTTAAGAAAATGATCAAAACAATTATTGAGAAAAATATTTTTTTCTAGATTTTTTAATAAAATAATTCTTGAGAAAGCATATTTTTAACTAATAAAAAGCTTACCGAAAATGGAAAAAATAATTTTTGTGAATTTTTTTTATAAACAAATTTTTACTGCCCCATTTTTGTTTATATATTTTTATACAACAAAAAAAACAAAACACATTTCAAACTGAAAATATTAAAATAACATTAACAAATAACAAATATTTTCAAAGCAAGCTTTCTAAATATGAACGAATTAGACCATAAATAATGGTTTACCAAATATATCGACTCGTGCGCCACCTATCGGCAAATTTTTAGAGAGAGAGTAGAGTTTAATTGTGTAACATTTATTAATTAGAACAGGGGAATCGATTTTCTTCAACATTGCTACTTTTTCCGCGCTTTGCACTAATAAATTTAGTACAAGGATATGAAAGTTCAAAAGTCGGGCGCAACTATTCTCTTGCTAATTATTAGCTTCCATTAAAAAAAAACTAAGAAACAATTAATCAAATCGGTTGAAAAATGAAGGCTCCAGTGAATTATGAGCAGCTTTCCAGTTCCACTTTTGAGCCACCGTGTAGCGTTGGCTCCTTTTGAACTTTCATAAATTTGTTTAAACGCACCACCTTTAACGGGACGAGCAACATCACACCAGATATAGAATTAATGCCTTCAAAACCAAGGCAAAAGTATTCCCTAAAAGGTTTTGCACTAATAAGAATATTGTAAGAATTTTGGCGGATTTGTTTATTTATAATTTTATAACTTTATCTCAAAATTTTCGAAAAATATTTAAAAATAATTTTGTTCTTGAAAAGGAAAGAATATCTTTCTTTCTTTTCTGTGCCTTCAGGAAAAATACTTTTTAAAAAAATTTTTATTGTTATCAAAATTATAATAAACTTCCCAGTTATTAGAAAAAATGATTTTCTTGAGAAAAATTATTCTCACAAAAAATATTAAAAAAAAATAAGAAAACTAAAAATTAATTTCTGATCAAAACTATACTAAACTTACCATTTATAAGAAAATATATTTTCTTGAGAAAAGCGCAAAAATAGAAAAAGTACCAAAACCTAAAGAGTCAATTTTTTGGGCAATCATTATTTTGGAAATTTTTTGGTGTAAAAGAAATTATTTTTCGAAAAGACAAATTTGTTTTAATAAAAGATAAATTTGTTTTTATAAAAAAGATACAATTTTAAGCTTACTTATGATGATTTAATTTCTTCCAAAAAATGTTATTGTTGTTTGATGTTACGCTCAACCCTGTGAAAAGGGTTTTTGCCTTCCAGTCCTTGTCACGCATTTCATAATTTTGTCGTTTTAAACTACCATCTGATTTTCAGGGCAACCATCACCCTTGACAAAGCTTCAGAGGGCAGAGAATGAGCTTTTTTTGCCTTACAAGAGTGTGAGTCGAAATTTTTTGGTAGAAACGGAATCCCCATTAGACTTAATATGTACATAATATAATTTCTTCTTTTGGAAAAAATTAGGGTTTTAAGGATTTCAGATAAAAATAAACATTTGGAAAAAATATATATTTTAGTAAATTTATTTAAAAAAATATTTAAATAAAATGATGAAATAAAATTTTTTATGTACCTAAAAGAATTGGCCTCATGCATAACAAGTGTGCTCAAGATTTGACTGAATTTCATCAAGTGATAAAGTGAGTTATAGCTCAAGGATTTGTACTGAAAATCGAGTCAGAGCTTAAGCTTTAATATTAATAATTTTTTAAGAAAATTATCAAACAAATTGAGAAAAATATTATTTGTTCTAGATTACCGAGAATGGAAAAAAATAATTTTTGTTAATTTTTTTTGTAAAAAAAATATTTACTGCCTCATTTTTGTTTAGATATTTTTATAGAACAA